AGCCGGAGCAGCACCACCCGCCCCACAGACCGAGCCAGCGCCGCCCCCGGCCCCTCCGAGGCGCGAGAGGCCGAGAAGGCGGCCGTCGTGGCTGCTCGAGGGGTGCACCACATCATCCCTCCCGGCAGCGGCGCCGCTTCTCGACAGCCTTAGTGGCGATCTGCGGCCGATGGTAGAGCGGGCCTTGCGGGGAGAAGGGGCCCTCGACCACACCGGTGTTATGGAGCGATTGAGGCAGCTCAGGCGGCGGACGGCCAGGGCGGGAGGAGGGGGAGGCGAGTCGGCCGAGAGCGGCCTGCCCGAGCGGCTCAGGGATGCCCTCGAGTCGCTGTCTGTTCGGTCGGTGTCTGACTACCGCGATGCAGTGGCCATCTTCCAGCAGCTCCAGGGCGTCTATCAGGAGAGCGCGCGCGTCCTCGAGAGCAACAAGGAGGATTTTGACCGGCACGGCAGCCGCTGGCGGTCCGCCCACGACGACCTTGTCAGGGCGTGGCAGGACGACAGCGATCGGCTGAACGGCGGCCCGCTGACAGATGACAAGCGCGCGGCCAAGGGGCGGCTGGCCGAGGCACAGGAGGGGCTGGTGCGGCTGTATCAGTCCAGGGAGAGGGAGGTGCGTGCGCTGCGGGAGGTTTTGAGTGAGCTGCACGCCGTTCTGAAGGTGGTCAAGAGGCGTGTAGAGGCCTTCGTCGAGAGCTGCTCGCGTCAGCAGCGGGCAACGCAGGACGAGAGGACGACAGGGGGAGAGGCGGCGGGATGAGCGGTAATTCATTTGCTGACTGTCTGACCGACCGACCAGTAGTCGGCCAGCGTGTGTGACTGTCTGCACGACACTGTGTGTGTGTGTGTGTCTAATGGTTGACGGACTTCTTCTTGACCCTTTTATTTGTCTTTGTGGTCCTGGCTCTGATTCCTTGCGGAATGAGCAAACACACTCGTGGGTTTGCAAGGGATGTAGGGTTCCTTACCCTGAAAAAGTCAGCGAAGGACAAGGGATATCACAGAGAAGCCGACATCGGCTGTCTGAAGGGTGCGTGAGCCAATTAGCGGGACTTCCCATCGTCAAAAAATTCGCCTCCTCTCCTCAGCCCGAAAGGTACACCCCGAGAAACTTGCGAGAAAAAACAGAGATGGGCCGTGTGCGTGAGATGAGGGGAATATCATGTCATTTCTGCCATTCTGCCATTCTGCCTGCAGGTCGTTCAGCCATGTTCGGGCATCAGCATACTCAGCGTATAGACCCCCTTTATGAGATCAATGGCGGCGGCCACAGCGCCAAGACCGTTCCTCTCCTCGCGCAACCGGCCCAGGACGAGGTCGTGCAGCTCACGGTGCCGCCGGCAGACCACGACACAGTCGAGCAGATCAGGTTTTCCCTCGAGGAGATGAGCTACACCATCAAGGTGGCTGGCGGGGACAAGACCATCCTCCACAACATCAGCGCCTCCTTCAAGCCTGGCGAGACGGTGGCCTTGATGGGAGCCTCTGGGGCCGGCAAGACGACCCTCCTGCGTGTGCTCGCCGGCGACGTGGGCGGCAAAGGTCGGGCAGGGCAGAGGGAAGGAAGGAGAGGAAACGCGACACTGCACAGCGACGGCAGTCAGTGGCCAGCAACTGTTGGTGTGTCTGTCCTTCTGTCTATCTACCTGTGTGTGTGGTGGGCGTGCAGTGAGTGGCGAGATCAAGGGCAACGGCCGCTCATTGAAGGGGACGCGCTACCAGAAGCTGAGCCAGTTTGTGTACCAGGAGGACGTGCTGCTGCCGTCACTGACCCCCCGGATGGAGCTCGGCTACCTCGCCGCGCTCAAGCTGCCGCAGGCAATGAGCAGGGCTGAGAAGCGGGAGCGAGCCCACCGGGTGCTGGAACAGCTCAACTTGCAGGTTTGCGCTTGGAGGGGGCAGGGCAACGAACGATCACAGACAGACAGACAGACAGACACAGGGCGGGCGGGCGACGAGGCTCATCTGTGTGTGTCTGCGGGTGTGTGGCCATATCAGGGCTGCGAGGACACATTGGTCGGCAGCGTCGATCGCAAAGGGCTCAGCGGAGGGCAGAGGAAACGCCTCTCGTAAGCCATGACAGCACACACATCTCTATCGGCCCGACCGACCGCCCCATGTGATGTAATTGCGCTCTTGGTTGCGTCAGTATTGCCTCCGCTTTGCTGACCAACCCGTCCATCGTGTTGCTGGACGAGCCCACGAGTGGGCTGGACTCCAAAAACGCTGAGGACGTTGTAAGCAGTGGCACTAGCAGCACCACCACCACCACCAGCAGCGAGTCCCACCCGGATTGCTTGTGCTGTGTGTGTGTGCGTGTGTGTGTCTGTAGGTGATGCTTCTGACTAATTTGGCGAGGCAGGGGCGGACCGTCATTTGCTCCGTCCACCAGCCATGTATGTGTGTATGTGTGTGGGTGTGGGCCGGACCGCGCAAGACGACTGGTTTGATGTGATTGGTGTGATTATTTGTCTGTCTGATCAGCGTGGAACGTTTTGACCAAGTTTGACAGGGTGTTGCTGCTGCATCACGGGAGAGTGGTCTTCCACGGACCGGTGCTCAACGACACCCAATAATGCCCCACACACGCACATACAGACAGACATCCGTGTGTGTGTGTAGGTGCCCTGCATGGAGCCGTACTTCGAGCGTCAGGGGGTGAAATCGCCGGAGCATGTCAACCCCATCGACCACATCATGCGGGTCATCCAGGAGATGAACCCGGTCAACACCAAGTCGCCACCGAGTGCCGTCCCAGAGGACACCAAGACACAGAAAACCAACCGCACCGTCACCTTTGCCGAACGGTGGGTGATCCCATCACACGATTGACGGCCGCAAGACAAGACGGCAATCCTCACACACCATATGTGTGTGTTGTACTGTGTTGTGTTGTGTTGTGTTGTGTGTGTAGGTGGGAGGAGGAGGTGCACGTCAACATCGAGAACGCCTCGCCGCCGACGGGTCCGAGCCAGGCGAGCCTGTGCGACGTGGGGGGCATGGTGGAGAAGGAGGAGCCGGAGGGGCTGTTCTCCATCAAACGACACGCATACGCCACACCGGTGCACACGCAGACGCTCGTGCTGCTGCACCGAGCCTTCTACGACAACCTCTGGTCAGCGGGGGGAGAGAGAGGGAGGGGCCAAGACACGCCTTCTAGTTGCAGTGGATGCGTGTGTGGCGTGTGGCGTGGACGTGTGCAGTGACAAGAGGAAGTTTGTGAAGAATTGTTCCATGAAGATCATACTGGCCCTGATGGTGGGCTGCATATGGCTCAACCAGGGCAGGCCGCCCACCAACCAGGCCATCTTCCCACTGACCGGTCCGCACACCACACCACACCACATCACACCAAATCAAATCTCACACCTCTCGCCGACGCGTGCGTGTGTGTGTGTAGGAGCGATGTTTCTGCTGACGAACAACTGCGTCATGTCGACTTTGTTCACGACGGTGATGCAGTTCCCCATCGAGAGGACGCTCATCCAGCGGGAGCAGAGGAACGGCGCCTACTCGCTGCTGGCCGCCTACAGCGCCATCTTCATCTCCAACATCGTCCTGCAGTTCTTCATGTCCCTCCTCCTCACCATCCCTGTCTACTTCATGGCAAGTACCCACGGAAAGGGCCTTTCTGTCTGTCGGTGTGAGCTCACGCGGTGTGTGTTGTGTGGTGTGGTGTGGTGACTGACTGCATTCAGGTGGGTCTAGTGTTGACGCCTTACCGGTTCTTTGTGTTTCTGGCGTGTTTGGCGCTGCTGTCGTTCACGGGATGTGTGGTGGGTCTGATGGTGGGGTGCGCTGTCAACGACACACGAGACGCACAGCAGGTCGTCCTCCCCACCATCGTCCCGCTAATGCTCTTCTCGGGTGGGTACCTACCTGATGGATGGAATACCACACCACGCACGGAGAGAGGCGAGGAGACGGACGATTGGCTGGGTGTGTTGATTACATGTGCTGTCAGGTTACATGATTCCCTACGACAGCATCCCCATTTACTTTAAATGGCTGTACCACATCAGCTTCTTCCAGTACTCATTCGCCATCCTCAGGTAAGTAAGACCCTCTCTCCCCGATGGCCACCCAACACACACAATCACACGCCGAATTTGACTGCATGCAGGATAAACCAGTTCGTGGACATCACGTTCGACGACTGCCCGGAGCTGAGCTGGATCCCCTGCTTCCACACGGGCGTCCAGTACCTCCAGACCCCCCAGGTCGACCTCGACCCCGCCACCCACCCCATGTGGTTCCTATTCGCCATGCTGGCGGTCATCATGTGTGTCTTCGTCGTGTGCGGCTTCTTTCTCATGCGCTGGAAGATCGGCAAGAAGCAACAGTGACTGAGTGAGACAGAGAGAGGGGAGCGGGGAGGGGAGAGGGGCCCTTTTTGCGTCCGTCGTGTGGTGTGGTGCGCCTGTACATATTCATTTTGTCCGTGTGAGTGAGTTGATGTGTTGTGTCTGCGCTGCGTGAATGTTTGGGTGGTGAGTGAGTGAGTCACGCTCACACACACCGCATAGGTGACCTGTATGACACACACAACGAAACAAGGGCCGGTCGGTCGGCCCACAATTTTGCCCACCTGACTGACCGCAATGCTCTCACTAACCAAGTTTTGCTCAAGCTAGCCAGCTAGCTGCCCCATCCATCCGTGTACTTGTCTGTGCGCATGTTCACACCCACACGCATTCGCGGAATGCGCCCCGCCCACACCACTGCCAGCCAGCCATGCACACGCACGTCATTCACTGCATGCCCCTGTCTGTGTGTGAGCGTCTCGTACTTTCTGTCTGGACGAGAGAGAGATGCGTTTTTGGGATGGGATGGAAGAAATTGGCTGGGCTTGAGATTTTTTCCTGCCCTGTGTGTGGATACCAACGAGTCCAAACAGACAGACATGTACACCTGTAGCTGTGTGGCCGTCCGTGCGTGTGTGTGAAGAGGAGGTAGACGGAGTGGGGGTGGGGGGGTCGGGGTGGGGGGGTTGGTCTGGGGGCGCTCTCTGTCTGGTGTGTGTTGTGTGTCGGGCGGGGTTGCTAGTCAGTCAGTCAGGCTCTCAGAGCTACCCTGCTGACCAGAGCGTGCTTGTGGGTGTGGGGTGGTGTGGGCTGCGTGTGGGCGATGGGGAGAGATGGATCGAACGACACACATTTGCTGGTTGCACGGTGAGTGAACTGTTTGGCGTCATGATGAAGCGTTCCTCCGTCCGTCCGTCCGTTGTCTCAGCTGGTTCCTGCACAGCACACACACCCATTCGTAGTCATTACGTCCACCCACAGCAAGAACAAGCATTAGTTTGCAAAATCTGCCAAAGTCTAGGTAGGCCTCTATGGAATGGTATAAACGTCCCACTCACTCAGTCGCTCGCTCTGATCAGTCAGTTTACTGTACAGACAAGACAGACAGACAGACACCCAGTCAGTCCCATCACTCACTCGTAATATATTGGGCAGGCAATGAAAGAAATGCGAATTCTCAGATACATCCATCCGTCGATCATCATGATCATGGTACGGGCTATGCAGGTAGACATAGGCCCTCGGGATTGAAACACACCACACAAGAGGGAGACACACACCGGGGGTGTTGACAGATACATGGACAAATCAGCGGGCCCCTCCCTCGCTCACTCTCTCTCTCTGTCTCTGTCTGTTCCTCTCTGTCTTCCTTACTACGGCAGCACACCTACTTATCCACACACAGCACTCACTTCCCACTGTCCCTCCCAACTCCCTACCGGGCTGCCCACAACTACGCACCTCACCCACCCAACGACCTCATCAACACAACACAGAAGAAACACTCTCATCTGTCTCATGCTGCTTCCCTCATCCCCGTCTTTGTCCCTGCTGCCACGGCCCGGTCCCTCCTCGCTTTTTTCTTCCTTTTGGACAGCTGGATGACGCGCGTCCGCGGCAAGCCACTGCTACTGCCGCTGTCGATCGCATCGTCGAGCCGCAGCCGGAGCCTCTTTCTCTTCTCGAAAGCCCTGAGCTTTTCGACATCGACGTGCATGTCGTCCTCGATGAGGCGCGAGATGATGCCGTTGATGTGCAGACACCCCACCACCGCCACCACTGTGGGCGGAGGCCGGGCGGGGGCTGATGGCTTAAAGGGCGACAGCAGCCTGTCCACAGGGTTGAAGGCTGCTTGCTGCCGCTTCTGAAGCTGGTCTTCACACGCTTGCCTACACACACACACAGAGACAAAGAAAGACGTTATGGGTATGTCCTCTCTCTCCAGCTGTGTTATCATGTTGGTCACCTGATAGATCTGGCGAGGTAGGCGTCCCTGTCGATGACGATCTTGCGGATGAAGCCGGAAAAGATGATGGGGATGAGAAAAATGTCAAAGGCGCTCGTGATGTCCTCTATCAACCAGCTGCTGGACTTCGCCATCGAGCCAAGCATGGCCGCGCTGTCGCCCAAACTGAAGCCGAACGATGAGCCAAACGACCTGCACACACACACGCGCCTGAGCTCTCTCTCTCTCTCTCTCTGTCTCTAGGTGTGTGTGTGTGTGGTTCGTACGCTGATTCGATGATGTATGAGAATGCCCGCCACATGTCGCCAGGCACAGTGTTGCCGATGCCCGAGTGGACCAGCAGCACAAAGGCCTCAAACACCATCAGCACGGGAAACAGCAGACCTGACACACACCACACACACTAAACCATATAGAATGGATGGATGGATGCCAGTTTGCTCCTCACTCCGTCCGTCACGCAGCCACTCACCTCCGAGGTCTCTGAAGACCCTGAGGTCAAAGAGAGGCCAGGAGAGGAGGTTGAAGTACTGCCCGTTCCGCTGGTTCGGGTAACCCACGATAGACCTGCCACACGTCCATCCATCCATCCATGCATCCATCCATCCATCCACCCCACACACGCAAAGAGCACATGTCCACATGCATCTGCCACGCAAGGGCGCTTCGTTCATTCTCCCCCCTCCCCCTCTGACCTCCCAAACATGGGTACGTCCTCGAGCGAGTTCCTCAGTGCCCTGAAGAAGGTCTCCACCCTCAGCGGCTGCGTGATGTTGATCGTCGACCGCACGTCCTGATCACCTGCACACAAACAATCAGCAGGGGATGCACCCACCACACGCACTACAAGTGCGTCAATGTCTGTCTGTTGCGTACCGAGGTAGATGAGGACGTCGTCTCGTTTGGCCAGGCCGATGGCACTCTTAAACTCCACACCGGGGTCGAACTTCATCAGACGCTGGAACTGCGCACACAGCCACACCACACGACCACAGCAGCAACAACCAACCAAGTCAGCTGCCTCCTCCCATTTTCTCTGACAGCATGTGTGTGTGTGTGTGTGCTTACGAGATAGATGACGTTGAGGACGACGGCGAAGAAGGCGCTGAAGACATTGAGCCGCTGGAAGGCCGTGACGGCCACCCTGCCGCTGCGTTTCACCGCCCACCTCGCCCCCTGCCTCTCACCCTCCTCGGCAGCCATCATATCCGCATACATACTCTGCACAAAGCCATCCACACACACACACGCACGCACGCACACACAACAGAAGTCACCATCCCATCAACGCGATGCAATGAGCGTGTGTATGTGATGTGTCGGCTGTGCTGATGACCTCGAATCGCTCCTCGCACAGCTCGATGACGAGGGAGTCAGGCTGCACCCGGTTCCACACGTCCTCCACGTCCCTCTTGGACAGCGGGGCGCCGTGCATGACGCCCACTACGTACACCGTCGCATTGGTCTTCCTGTCGGTCACACGGAAGGTGGCCGCCGGCAGGGAGTCGGGGTGGGTCAGGCGCCTCCTGCGGGTGGTGCTCAGCGGGGGCGGCTCATCGAAGCTCAAAAGCGTCTCAGATGGCAGCTGCAGCGTCTCGGGACGCACACTCGGCAGCAGCTGCACCCACGACACACACACCACACACACACACACACACACACACAACACAGCGCATCTCACAGAGGGGCACGTGTGTGGTTTACCTCCTGCCTTGCAGCCGGCAGATGGACATCTGTCGTCGGCCGCCTCCTCCTCCACGCGCCTAAGGTCCTGCCGCTGCCTCCTGCGGCATCGCCAGGTCGCAGAGGCTGAACAAATGCCGTGCCTTCCTTGCCGAAAAACGTCAGGAAAGCCACGACAAGGGACAAAAGGCTGACCTTCTGGCAGCTCATCCTAAGCCGCCTTGTGCAAGATGCCATAGCGCAGTTTGATGCGCTTTGTAGCTCGCAAAAGGCGATCCCTCCAACGAGTGCCTCCGCCCTCTGATTAGCACGGCAATGACAGATCCTGACCATCTGCAGCAAGATCCAGATGAGCTGTGGTCTACCGCGGCCCTTGACGATGGTTCGTTGGTTGGATGAGTGAAGCTGACTTGGTGCCTGCAAGCGGTGCTCCGGCTTCCCCCTTTGCAGCCCCATATGCTCCCTCTCTCCCGCCGCCAGCACAAGCATCGGGCATTCATCGTGGCGGCGCAGCTGATGGGGCGGCCATTGTTGATCAGCAGCAGCCCTTCTCTCTGGGTCCTTTCCAAGGCGGCATGATGGGCCACTATGGGCAGTCATCGCCACTCACACCCGGCTGTCATCCGCTATCGGTGTCGGCCACACGAGTAGGTGTGAGCGGCCCTGTTGGGGTAGGCCATCCTGCATCCCACATCCCCTTGCGGCCTCCCAGCCTCCCGGCCCTTTGTTATCCTGCTGGCGTCCCTGGCTATGGCGTCGCACCACAGTACCCATCGATGCCGCTGACCACCGCCACCGCACACCGACGGGCGATGGACGTGGTAGTGTCGCCTTGGCCTTCACCTGGCGGCAAGATAGCAGGCTACCGCCGGACTGCCATCGTCCGTCGTCCCCCCGCAACCGCCTCCACGCGGCCGATATCGGTCATCAAAGCGGTGTCAAAGGCGTCAGCTTCAACAGCTCCAACAGCGCATGGCAGGCCACCTGGCGTGAAAGCGGCATCGATAGGAAAAAGAAGTTCTCTGTGCGGCAGCTGGGTATGGAGGGCGCCAAGAAGGCCGCCATAGCGCACAGGCGGGAGATGGAGCGATTGCACTACTACTACGACAATCGTGGCAGGCTTTTGCCGATCCCTCCTGCCGAGCCCCATCGTCAGGGCGCTGTGGATGAAAAGGAGACCGACACAAGAGACGGCGGCGCGGGGCCTCATGAGACCAGGGCTGGTGGGCAGCCAGCCGCCACGTCGGCCGCTGACATGGATGGCAGCAGCAGGGTGGAGGAAGACATCATGCTGACGAAGCTGCTGGAGGGCGTGCGTGCGACTGATCCTGAGAGTGGCGGTCGGTATGAGATCGCCACAGTGACGGTGGCCGGCCGGCAGACAAAGGCAATCCGGTGGAGGCCGACGGGTTAGAGGAGAGAACACAGGGCAAGGAAGGGCAGGATTGATCTGCCTGTGTGTCTGCTGATCAGATGTTTGTGTAGCGTCTGACCGGCGTGATGTCCACGACCAGGGTAGTGGACACCCAGTTGGCTCAGCCGGGATGCACCACTTCGCCCATCGTCTCGGCTGTCCGCCTGTGTGCCATTCAGGATTGCCTGATCCTCCGAAGCGCCATATGCCAAGCAGCCCCCCTGTCACCCCCTGCAATGGCCGAGACCCATCGCCGGACGGCAGCCGCTCTCCGAAGAGACGGCGCACAGAGCCACCCCAGCACGACTCGCATCATGAAGGACGACCAATGGGCCAGACAAACAAGACGGTCCTCACCAGACGTGTTCCGACGCTCACCTCGGACGTACCGGGGGTCTGTTGGCTTACGTCGAGCCGATCGTGGGTAGCCTCATGGGTCGAGAAGGTCGACAAGAGGTGGAAACACAAGTTCTTCAGCGCTAGTAACCATGGATTCGACAAGGCCAAGGTGCGCGTGGCGCCGTCTATCACCCCAATCTCTCCATCTCTCTAGGTCTCTCGTGTGTGTGTGTGTGTGTGTGTGTTGTCGACTCAGGCGCTGGCCGAGAAGCACCGTCGCAAGATGGAGCGCATCGGACGGGCGGGGGTCAAGCAGAGATCAGAGAGTGGCGTCAGGGGCGTCAGCTTCAACAAGAATGCATGGGTGGCCAGCTGGTACGACGGTGGAAAACAGAAGAAGAAGCACTTCTCTGTGCGGCAGCTGGGCTATGAGGGCGCTAAGAAGGCCGCCATCGCACACAGGCGGGAGATGCAGCTACAGCACTGCCTATTCAAAGACAGGGGACAGGCCGGTAGGCGAGACAAAGAACAGCGGTCCATCGTGATCCATCTGTCTCTCTCTCTCTCTCTGTCTGTCTGTCTTTCCATGTGTCCCTGTTTTGCCGTCAGCAGGTCTCTGCTCGCCACGTGACGACCAAGCGACTTCACCATCCCGCAATGCTCTGCTGAGTCATCCACAGTATCGCCAGCCGACCTCAGCTTTTCTCTTTACCCCGAGCTGATGGCGAAGGCCGTGACGGCTCCCCAGACCACCGCCCCCCTCCCACCCGCCAGCACGGCTCAGACGGCTGCAGCCTCACCGCTGATTGCAGCCCACTTCACCCACACCAACCTCCCGGTCATCACCCGCGGCAGGCAGAATAATGATGGCTATGGTCCCTCACAAGTGAGCTGGCCAACAGACTCGACGGACAGTGACATCTGTACTGTTTCTTGCCTGTTCCATTCAGTCGTCGACTCGTCATTCTTCAATGCTAAGCACGCCAGCTCCCGAAGAGCCCACTCATCAGTCTGCCCCTCCACATCCGTCGATGCTGCAGCCCCCACCAGCGGCTGACGGTTCACACAGAGGGCGAGCGGCGTCCCTTCCCCCACCAACCGCAGGGAGGCTGCTGCTGGTGCAGGAGTTTGAATCGCGAAAGATCAACGGAGAGGAAATCACAATGCCTCAGTTCGCAGACGAGAAGGGCATCGACGTAAAGCATTTCAAGGAGGTGTACTACGCCATCAAGAAGCAGATAGAGCAGGGCACGCAGGTGTACCTATCTGCTTCCAATAAGCGCATCAGGCAGCCCTGGGTCAGGTATCGGCAGATCGAGAACGAGATGCGTCAGTGGGTGGCGACACAGGGTGATTCCACGAGCATCCGCCGAAAGGACACCAAGGCCAAGGCAATGGATATCGCCCGTCAGCTGGGCGAAAGCAACTTCAAGGCGAGCGACCAATGGTTTTGGGCATTCAGAAGACGATGCCAACAGGTAGGAACACAGCAGGAAGGGCAAGGAGGTCTGGACAAATCACTTAGCATCTTCCTCTGCCATGTGCTTCTTCTGCTTAGCATCCTCCTGTGCCATGTGCTCCTGTCGCCGGCACCATATCTGCCCCTGACAACATGGGCGGAATGGCAGTGAGGGGGGCGGTCAAGAAGCGATCAGAGCATCAGAGCGGCGTCAGGGGCGTCTACCGCCACAGTGGCAGCAGCGCATGGGTGGCCAGCTGGTACGAGGGGCACAAGAAGAAGGAGAAGCTCTTTTCTGTGCGTCAGCTGGGCTATGAGGGCGCCAAGAAGGCCGCCATCGCACACAGGCGGGAGATGCAGCTACAGCATTGCCTATTCAAAGACAGGGGACAGGCCGGTAGGCGAGACAAAGAACAGCGGTCCATCGTGATCCATCCTTATGTCTGTCTGTCTCGGTGCGTGTGTGTCTGTTGCCGTCAGCAGGTCTCTGTTCGCCACGTGACGAGCAAGCGGCTTCACCATCCCGCAATGCTTTAGCTGAGTCATCCACAGCATCGCCAGCCGACGTCAGTTTCCCTCTTTACCCCGAGCTGATGGCGAAGGCCGTGAGTGATCACCAGACCACCGCCCCCCTCCCAACCGCCAGCACGACTCAGACAGCTGCAGTCTCGCCGCGTGTGGCCATCGCACTATGACTCATCGACCAGCTGCAGATGCAGTCGCCTCAGATGGGCTAAGCACACTCATGAGGCGACGGCATCTGTTGGTGATCATCAAGAAATCGCGTTGCTGGTCTGGCGACTTGGCCTGGTGCACTGACTGACCGATGTGGCCACCGGGAGAGGGAAGAGCAGCCGGAGGGCGGGAGGGAAGGAGGGAGGGAGGGATACTTCCATGCGCCAGACAGCTGAAGGCAGTCAGGTGAGCAACACAAGGCACCTGATGGATACACTCACAGCAGCACTGATGTCTGTGTGTGTGTGCATGTGTGTGTGTGTCAGGATTGATCTTTACTGCGATGAGTTGGCGACACACATCATCTGTGACGCGAAGCTGTTCCTACTCGAGACTTGACGAGAGCGACAGCACGGCTCCCAAAGGCGATCGTGGTCCCTTTATGAGAGGGTTGTGTTCGGTCGCGACAACGACACAGACGACCAGCTGTCCCAACCGACAGACAGACAGACAGACAGACTGACAGACAGACATGCCAGAGAGGAGAGGGCAGTCGATAGGCGAGGAGCTTGGATGTGCTGTGCACAAATCCGTCGTGACCAGCTAATGTGTGAAAGATTCATTGAGTCACTGTTGGGGCGGTGTACATGAAGCGCATCAGCCCTATAAGAATGTGAATTCATCTCGACGACGCTGTTGTAGGTAGGAGTCCCGTGAACGTTGCTCACACACACACACGCAGAGAGAGAAGCCACTGGGCTCCACTCGCCCACCTCACCCCTCTCCATGTCCGCACGCACTAGATGTCATGTCAACACACGATATGCCGGCCAGGCAGCCAGCCAGCGACTTCGCATCTCTCGTTTGGCGCTTCGGTGCGCTCAAAACTCAAAATGTTGCACGCACATTCTCTGCACAGCAGCGGCTGAGCAGCCTTGCAAAGTCAGAAAAACCACCCAGCCAATCATGCACACGCACATACTTCTAGGGACTGACTGGCAGGGCAACCCACCGAAAATGTCACCACACAACTGGAAAGACTGGGGCCAACACGCCAAGCAATGGGTACACATACTGGATAAAGCGTGTGCATTAGATGGAGTGCTTGGTCTGCCGGTCAGCAGCAAGCTGGCCCATACGGACCTCTAGATGGCTACGTGTTGACAGACACTACCACCCACACACACACACAAACACACGACAGACGTCAAGTCCAGTTCTCACAGCGCCGCGCCCGAACCAGAGCCTTCCCCCCAATGCCACACCCGACATCCAGCCGGCGTGAAACAAAACCCAGCTGGCGTTAGTAGGAAAAAGCGAAACAAAACCAACCACTGCGTGCATCCGCCCTTCCATGCAGAATCCGCAGGCACACACATGCACCAACCAGTCCATGCAGCCAGTCCACACACACATGCATATCCATTCCTTCCATTCACATGCCATCACCAGAGCAGTCAGCCGTCACTTGATCGCAGCGCAGCATCGCTCAGGCACTCGCCAAGGATGTGGGCAAGATCTCGTCTGTCAGATTGTAGAATTCGTGACTTTCGTCGAAGATGCCCAGCTCGCTGCCCGCCCGGGCAATGGCCGAAGCGAGACCGTAGAACTCCTGGACCAACTCCACTTTCTGTGCCATTGTCCACTCGCTGTAAGGCTTGTACCTGCATGAAGAGACAGACCACAATGACAGACAGACGCGTCGGTGGCATTCTCTCTCTGTCTGTTCGTCTTACTCGGGTGTGACGAGCGGCTCCATGAGGGCCTCGAGAGCCTCCTTATGCCCCTGTGCGTCGGCGAAGGTCTCTGCCGACACGACGCCTTCGAATGGCTCGAACTGGCTCCAGATGCCTTTGACATTGTGGTCGAAAATCAACCCGGACAGGCCAGACACAGCCTCCTCCTCACCTGTATTCCATGCATCCCCCAACAAAACACACCACAGACGTGTGAGCAATGTGGTTGTCGTCACGTCACACGTCTCTGTACTCCACCCCTAACCTACCGGATATCTTCTTTGCGGGCACTTCAACAGCCAGGCCGACCATGCCTTCGAAACTCATCAGTGGTGTGCACTCGTCGGCCTCCAGCTTCGCGATCAGGTCCAAAGTGCTGTTCACAAGACCGTCTGCGTACGCCTGCATAACACACAGATGGTGTGTGTTGCGTCTTCCAACTGTGTGGTCGTCCGGGATGCATCACTCACTCACTCACTCACCTTGATTTCGAAGGGGTTCCTGTCCCTGAAGATGAGTCGCTCGATCTTGTGCGAGCCGCGGAAATCAGGGTCGTCTTCGCCGAGGGGGAATGCATAGGGGCGGGCGTCAATGTCGCTGTCCTCTTGCTCGAAACAACCGGCCAATGTCTGAATGAGACACGCATAGACGCAATGTAACACACACACACACACACGGCCGAAAGTGCACTGACACTTGTACAGTATCCTCGTTTTCTGATCCGTTTCCCTTCATCCACCCTCCCACTCACCCACCCACCTCGATCTGTTCGTATTCCGGCCTCGCGAGCTCGTAGGCTGCCCCCAGCTCAGCCCAAGTCGTGTTGGTAATAGAGTCCGCCTCAGTGGCATTCGCAGCCAATTCAGCCAGCGCTTCGACGTGGGTCAACATCGTTTGGGCCTGCTCAAGGAAGTAAGCGACTCCTACAGACATAAACACGTGATGGATGGATGGATCAATGTGAGCGTGAAAGATCAGGGAATCCACGTGGCTCCCTCTTCTCACCTTCTGAGGTCTGCGCAGCATATTCGCTGGTCTTCTGCAGCGATCGTCGCTGTGTGCCCCATCTCGTGAGCTGGCGTCGCTCGCCTTCGGCTTCGGGCGTGACATCGATGTCCAGCACATCAGCGGCTGCCTTGAGTGCATCGCGCACGGCCTCCATCTTGCGATAGATCACATTCTTCTGCATACACATTCACACAGCATACGCGGACGATAAGTGCACGCACAGAACATAAACACGGCTGGCCACGTCTCCTCCCTGCTGCTGTGTGGGGTGTGTGCGCACCTGATACATGGGCACAGACTCCCAGCTGCCCCACGCAGATTGGGTATTTTGGCTGGACAGGCGCACGCCGGCCGAGATGGCGTCGATCGCAGCAGTGATGGAGTCGTGCACACCATCGATGACGCCTTTCGCAGCGGCAGGGTCGACTGCCTCAATGGCAGCCTCGAAGGGCGAAAAGAGCATTTCAATGCCACGCAGATTCTGGTGAAGGATGAACAGGGTCAGACCTGAGAAACCAAAGCAGCCAAACAATCAGCAACGACACACCGATTACTATCTGTGCACGAGGGAGAATGGCGCCTCCATCTGGCTGAATTTGGTGGTGAGCATGTCCTCCGTGAGCGCCACCAGGCTCCGGAGATGCCCGTCGGCTGTGAAGGGGGTGCTGGTCCCATTGTTCAGGAGGCCCAGTACTGATGTGGCCGCTTCATCCATCACAGCTGTCACCGCAGCACACGAGGCCGTCGTGTTGGCTCCCCACAGCTGCATCAATGAATGCAATGAATGGAACAGGCTTCCTTCCGTCGCTCCAACAGCTTCCTGCCTGACTGTCTGTCGCCTACCTCCATCTCGACTCGCTGGAAGCCGGTGAACTCGGGGTTGGTGTGCCCTCCGTCCACCTCGTAAGCTCGAGCATTAATGTCGGCGGCCGTCTCGGGGAAGGCATAGCTGAGCGCCTCGACAGTAGCCCATGTGCCCTTGGCCGGCACCCACGCGTCGCGGGCAGCTTCTATGTCACCGGTGCGGCAGGCCACCAGCAGGGGGGTGATGTAGAAGTCCTGAAGGGCTTGCACCTGACACAGAAATGACATACAGCGATGCAGGCAGTGCACATCATGCCAGATCTCTCCAAACAGGCGTGTCATTTGCACGGACGTACCGCTTTCGCCGCCTTGGAGGTGGTGGTTGTGACGGCGCTATCCAGCGGCACTGGCTCCACCTGGACACGCCGGCGGGGGGAGGGTGCCGCCTGGCATGCGGCGATGGGAGAGGACAGGAGGAGGCAGGAGCAGAATGCGATCATCATGGCCTTCATCGGGCGGGGCGGGGGACAAGTCCGATTGCTGCGATAATGCGATGATGAGAGCGTTGGTTGGTTAGTGTGTTTAACGAGACTCGTGTCTGTAACCCCGGAGGGATTCGCGTTGGTTGGGTGTAGTTGGGACAATATCGTTTCCTCTCCTTCGGGTCTTTTTGCCGGACAAGTAAGGCGCCCAGCGAGCTGAGCGCGATGCACGACCCCCACAGGTGACAGCGCTGTTGAAGGAGAATGGGGAGGTGTGTCCACATACATGAAGCATTCCATCATGGAACAGCATGAAGGTGAGTGAGTGGCTTGAATAAAGAAAAGGCACGGCACATCACAGGTCATGCAGGTGTGTGTGTGAGTGTGTGTGTGTGTGTGGTGTCGGGTGACCAACACGGAGCACGAAACAGGCACGAGCATGAACAGGCAGAACGCAGGCAGAGAAGGTACGCAGCATGAAACAGGCACGAGGACGAGCAGACGCATGGCACAGGACAGCACAGCGCAGCACGAGCAGGCATGAAGAGGCAGAGCAGGTGTGGTTTGGCCGGGAGGTGCAGACTAAAACGATGGCAGGTCAGGGCGTCAACGCAAAATGACCGATGAAGAGATATGTGTGTGTGTGTGTGTGTGTGGAATCACTTCTTGTCCAGCTTCTTCTTGATCTCCTTGGCCTTCTTGATGTCGAGTTTCTTGGGGTCCACGCTCTTGAGGAGCTTGCCCAGAGCTGACTGGTGATCAGCCTTGGCGAGAGCAGCCCACAGCTGGACGGCGTCCTTGTCGTTTGCGTCGATGGCGTCGCTGAACTCTGCACACAGAGAAGAGAGAGAGAAAGAGAGGCGTCGCTGTGTGGGAGGGGTGGGTGGATGTGTGTGTGTGTGTGTGTGTGTGTGTGGCGTTTGTGTGCAGGAGGTACCTTGCTCGAAATCGTATAGCGAGCCGCTGGCGACCGTGGTGCGGTACGTGTACGCAGCGGCCACGGCCAGCGTGTGCAGCATCAGGACGGGCGACGCCTTCTCGTCGTCGTCGTCATCACCGATGGGGCAGTTCTTGGGGCACTTGATGTACGCCTGCAGAGAAAGGGTGCGTTCTGGAGCAGACCTGTGTGTGTGTCTGCGCTTATGTGCAGCCCGTTGGGCTTTTCAGGGCTGGTGATGCCGCCGTGCATCACCTTCCCGCACTTGAGGCAGGTCACCGGGTCCTCACCGGACGGCGGGGGACATAGAGAGGAATCGAAAGAGGTATCATATGATATGTCTGTGAGCCTTTCGATTCGATCGATCTCTTACTATCATCCTGCATCCCTGCCGAAGCCTTTCG